TGACTACAAGAACATGCAGCCCTGAAGCTTTTGCATCTTTCCCTCTGGAGACCAGCACTGCCTGCAGAAGGTTTTCCTAGTGGCTGTGACTAGTAAACCTACGCCCTTGGGGATCTAGGTATCACGGGTTTCCTGGCTGAGAGGGCCCAGGTATTGAAACCTAGTTTTGGCAGTTTACAGAATCTGTACCTTCCTTTTTATTCTCAGCCTGCTTCCAGCCAGCTGATCATGCCCTGGGGAGGCCTGCTGCCTCTGGTGGGGCCAGGACAGATGGCTGGATGACTGGGCAGGGACAGGGCCTCACCTTGGTCAATCTCTGTGACATAGCATTCCTCCAGGGCTCCCGAGGGGCTGTGCACCTTGGCATCAATCGCCCCCTTGGCCCCGTTCAGGCTGACTGCAAAAGAGGCTGGTTGGTTGACCTTTAGCCCTGACTCCTAGAAGCATAGCAGATGTGGTTAGATGGAATGGTTGGGAACCAGGGCAGGGGAGGAAAACAGAGCCCCATAAGCAGGAGGCCCACAGGGTTGCACTTACCCACCTGGCGTCCAACTTGGTTTAAAGAGGGAGAGCCACTAATTTATTAAGTCAACAAGCCATAAGCATACTTCACAGTCTCCTGCCCCCCAGACTCATGCTCTGCAATCACACACACATACACACACACACACTCACACAGGTGGCAGGAAGAAAAAGCAGCCCCACCCTATGGGAAGCACCCAGCCCTGACAGGCTGTCCCTCTTTAAACCGCAGCCCTGGTGCTCAAGGGGCACAGGCTTCTGTTCAAAGCCTTTAGACCTGAGACACGAGAAAAACTCCAGGCGGTGGGCAGGGCACTGCCTGCCAACCCCAAGCGTGGGCTGTACCCGGCCAGAGCAGAGGCCTGGTACCCAGAACTATTCTGGGTAGGTCACTTGACACAAAGCCAAGGCCTGCTCTCTACAGTTGCTCTGGTCTGGCCGGGCCCAGGAGCCCCAGGTGGGCAGTTTCTCTCAGTGCCTCACCTGAAGACTAGAAACAGTAAGGCGGCGGGCGTCGCCAGACGGAGAAGCCACAGGCACCACGAAGGGGCTGTCAGGGATGTGCTCCTCATTGAACTTGACTGAGACCTCATAGTCACCTAAGGAGAGAGAATAAGGCTGAGATACCACATGACCCCAAGGCCCAGCCCATAGAAGGCACACTGAGAGACCCCAACTTGTCAACCTTCAGACCTCCTGCCTCCCTCAAATAGCTTTGGTGACCCTGGACTTCAAGGTGGAGGATGGGAACCAAGCACAGCTATCTGCAGCCCCCAGGGCCAACTCCTGCACTCAGGCCCCATTTCTTCCATCTCCAGCTAGCATTGCCCCCAGTACCTGGCTCCTGAACCACATAGGCCACACCACAGGAACCATCCTTGCGGTCCTCAAAGGAGATTTCAGCCTTGCTGGGACCCTCAACAGCAATGGCCAGGCCCCCAGCGCCAGCTTCTCTGGTCCAAATGCTGAATTCGGCTACGGAAGAGCAGTGTGTCCTCATAGAGGGTTGGTTCCATGGCCTAAGCCCCTTCCAAGCATGGCCAAAACCAACATGGCTGCTAGTTATTCCCTCTAACCCCACCCCTACCTTGAGTCCACCCAGGAAAACATGAGCTCTGTGGACAAGCATACCTACCTGGCACTCCAGCTTCAGCCCTCTCAAGGCCAGGGCCCCCAGCACGGACCTTGTGGGCTCCCCCTTCACCCAGGGGCCCCACAGTGAACTGGAAGGGGCTCCCAGGCACATGTTGGCCCTTGTACTTGACGCTGACTGTGTGCATGCCCATCTCAGCAGGCACAAATCGAATACAGTAGGTATGGTTTTCTCCTTCCACAATTTCTGCCTCATGGGTCTTGCCAGATGGGCTGGTCACCTGGGCTGTCATGTCTTGGATGCTAATTTCTGTAAGTGGGGGATGGGTTGGTGAGCAGGAGCTCTGGGACCCACCCCTTATGCTTAGGAATGCCCAGAACCCTGGGCTCCCTGAATTCCTACCAGGGATCTTCAGACTAAGGTCACAATGACTGCCAACATTGGCCACTGAAGGGGCCCGTCGCCTGCGTGTGATGCTTTCTTTCACCCGGCCTTCACCTGTCACCTTCACAGAGAAGGGGCTGCCTGCAGAAGAAAGTACAACCCATGTCCCATACAGGTTACATGCTGAAGGTAGGTTCTAGGGTGTGGTAAGGGCCACCAAGTGGCAGGAGAGGCATGTGGCTGTTGCACTCACCAGGCACATGCTGGTCAGCAAACTTGATGTTGATGATATAATTGCCAGGCTCTGTGGGACAGTAGGTGACCCTGCACGTGCCATCTTCCAGGTCCTCTGTGTTGATGTCCACTTTGCTGGGGCCCTCAATGGACAGGCTGAGCCCACCATAGCCTGGTAGATGGACAACCATGAGCCAAAATTCCAAGCACAGCTATACCACCCTAGCTGGCAGGCCAACACTGCCTACCTGCATCCCGAGTATCTATGATAAACTCTGCAGGTTCAAAAGTATGGCCTTCATGGAGGCCCTGGCCCGAGACCCGCACACGGCTGGCATCCCCAATCTCTGACTGGCTGATCACCACTGGGATGGGGCTGCTTGCCACATGCTGGCCATTCTTCTTCACATGTACCAGGTGCTCTCCTGTCTCCTTGGGCACAAATGAAATCCCTGGACACAGGACAGAGTTGTCAACCAGGGAAGGTATGGGCCCACAGCCTCCCTCCTTTCTAGAAACACTGGGCTCCTTCTCAGCCTCTTACCCACGTGACCATTACGCAACCGCTTCAGCAGACAGGGTTCCTCTCTGCCTGAGGGTGGTACCACAGTGGCTGTCAACAGGCTGAGGTCTGTCTCTGAGATGTTGATGGGGATGTCGGCTGCAGAGCCTACCTTCAGGTGGGACATCCGCATGGAGTCATCACCTGGTGGAAGGGCAGGACATTTATCACTTTGCGTCCAACCACAGGACATGGTGCCAACCCTGCTGTCTGCCTTTGTCACTGCTCACTATGCCACCTACCTGTGACCCTGGCAGTGAAGGGGCTGCCTGGAATGTGCTGCTCATTGTACTTGACTAGGATGCTATAGTCACCAGGCAATACAGGTAGATAGGAAACACTACATGTGCCATCCTGGTTGTCAGTGCAGCTGATTTCTGCTTTGGATGGACCCTCGATGGCCAGCGACAAGCCCCCTGGAGAGAGTTAAGGGTTGAGGGTAGGAAGGGTAGGATCTGGAGACCTAGCAGCCAAGCAAAGGCCAGGAACACAATCTTGTGTCCAGCCTCCAACCAAGTGAGGACACCTCAGGCACAGAGTAGGTCAGGTCTAGAGCTGCTGCTCACCCTCTCCTGCATCCTTGGTGTTGACAGTGAAGGTGGCAGGCTTGTTGACCACTCCGTGGGTGAGACCAGGACCATAGGCAGTGACGTGGCCACAGTTGACATAATCCACATAGAACTGCAGGGGGCTTCCTGAGGCAAGAATTGGAGGCACCATGGAATATCAGCCTGTGTCCCCTTCCACTCCCATCTCTGTGAGATGGTGGCAGCAGTGGCATCATGTAGGGTGGGCAGGGGTAGGCTGGGCACACCTGGGATATGCATATTGTCATAGCGGATGTCCATCTCGTGCAGGCCAGCTTCACTGGGCGCATAGCGCACAGTCACAGTGCCATCCTTATTGTCAGTGATGGAGGGCTGTGCCACCTTGCCTGAAGGCATCCGAACCTCCCCTGCAGGGCAACAGGTCTGGGGTCAGGGCAGCCGTTGGCACACCCTGGCCTCTTGGCTTCCAAGCTCCTTCCCAGCCCCTGCTCACCAGTGATCTCGCCCTTCTTGATGGTGAAGGGGATGACAAGGTCAAAGGGCCTCAGGCTGGTCACATCCAGCCCGTTGACACCCACCAGGGGCCTCTCTGGGGTCTACAGTGGAGACAGAGGGCTTGGGTGAGGGGCTGAGGAAAGATCTAGGGTCCTTTCCCACATGAGGTGGAACAAGGCCTCACAGGAACACCCAGATAGCCAGTGCCAAAAAGAGGTGGGTCAGGCCTTACCCACGTCTGCTGGCCACCTTGGGCATAGGTGTACTGTGGAGCCAGCTGCTGAGGCCGTAATGGGGCCTGTGCCGTTGGCTGGTCCCCAGCCAGAGCCTGCAAGGCAAAGCAAGAACTGGAGACTCACCACAAAGGGAACCCCTGGAGGGGCAGGCTAGGATCTGCCCAGAAATCCCCGCCCACCCATCCTTGGCCTTTTCTCACTGTCACTTGGAAGGGGCTGTTGGGTACGTGCTCGCCGCCAAAGCGCACACAGATGACATATTTGCCCGGCTGTGGGGCTGTGTAGAAGATGTCGAAAGTGCCATCCTCATTCTCCACCACATCCACGTCTACCTCGGAGCCATCAGGGGTGCACACGGTGCAGGTCACCTTGCCTTTGCCTGCTGCTTTCGTATCCACTGTGATCACTGTCTCCTCCCCAATCTGGATGGTGGGGCCGATGCCAGCACCTGGTAGGGCAGGGTAGGTCCCCAAAGCGGGGCCAGTGGGTGAGCCTGGTACTCAAACTGCTCCCATCAGCCTGCCACCTGTCCAGGCCTATAACTGCCACCACCAAGCACAGCCAGGCCTCCTACCCCACCCTGTCCCCCAAGCTGGGATGGCGAGTGGTTTCTCAGAAGGCAGGAAGGAGTCTCCTAACCACCTCAAGCTCAAGTCCCACATGGGAGAGGCCCAATGAGTGGCACCCAGGTGCCAGAAGGAAAAGGAAGAGCCCATCCTGGCACAAGAACTTAATGCCGCCTCCCCTGCTAACAGCCTCAGCCAGTACCATGACCCATGCTGCCTAACACCAGCACTCTGGCTGAGCCCATGGCTGCCTGTTTCCCTGTGGCCTTGCCCTTGGCCCCAATGCAGTGTATGGATGCAGTGAGGCAAGAGTCCTGCTGCAGTGTGGGGGATGTGACACTTGCCTCGCTATCCCCCCAGGCCTGAAGGTGAAACTGGAGTTTCCTGACAACTGAGAATGCTCGCTTAACCAGAGGCTTGTGGTAAGAGGCAGCCCAGCACAGCGCAGCCCGGCGCAGGCGGGAGCAAGGAGCAGGATGGCAGCAGGGTTAGCATCTGAGCAGCATAACACAGCAGGCTTGGCAGAGCAATGGCAGCACCCAGGGACAGGGGACAGGAGGTCCAAGCCACAGGTATCACTGCTGGGTTGCAAGAGCAGAGCGGCTGAGCAGCCTCTAGGGCCCCATAGTGCCCGAGGAAAGGGGAGGGACAGTGACGTTATGATCTGGAGCTCAGCTGTGGAGGCTCAGGAGGCTGTGGGCTGTGTGGCCTGGCAGCAAGAGCACCCCTGCAGCCCGGCCTCCCGCCAGGAAAGCAGCTGGGAGCACCAAACCTGCTTGAGTTCAAGGGGCCCCCTGGCCAGCCTGCCACCATATCCCCCTTCAGCCAAGGGCTCCCACTACACTAGGCTCTGTGCTGGCCTTCCACAGCTCTCCTGACTCTAGACCTGCCGTGCATGCTGCCTTGTGAGGCCTCACTCATGCCTGCCCTACAACATCTACCTAGTGAGTTGGGACCCATCCTAATCACTTCCCCTGACTTCCCATTTCCCCACCCAGCCCCAGGCCACCAGCAGGTCGTAGTCACACCATCCTCAAAGTACACTTCCTAACTGGGTTTCCACCTAAAGCCCCACAGCCACCCATCTGGCCCAAGTCAACCCTCTGGCTTGTCTGAAAGCGACTTAAACCCTCTAGTGGGGCTCCCTGCCTCCATTCCACACACACAGTGGCCTGGGAAACAAGGCCACTCTGAGTCTTGCCCTTTACCACTGGCCAAGGCCCCGAGATCAGGCTTTTCCCAATGCCCAGCTTCTGCTGTCCCTCTGCCCCCGACACACCTTCACTTCAGATCCTGTAGCCTGTTCTACAAAGTTATCTAGCCCCTGCCACAAAACCCTATCCACCCCTCTAACTCTCCCTGGACACCTGCCCGAGTGCCAGGCCTGCAGCCTTCAGAGACCTTTTTGGGTAGCTGCAGCCTATTATCAGCACCTCTGGGTTTTCCCTGGCTGGGCAGGCAAACCCTATGCCTAGCTGGGGACTATGTGAATAACGTCACTGCTCAAGGGATAGAGAAGGAGGGAAGGAGAAAGATGGGCCAGAGTGCACTTTGGGGCTCTGAGGCTGGGCTGGGCCCTGCCATGCTGGCCGCCCAAGCAGTCGACACTGGCGCTACTGCACTACCAGCCAGCCCCACCCGCTCATGCACCTCCCCCGGCCTGGGACGCAGAGGCCCCTGGGAGGTGGGGATGGAGGTCTGTGGATCTGATCAGGGCTAAAGACTCCCAGTGAGTGGGGGAGGCCCCTGTCCCCTTAGCCCATGCATGAGCCCCTGTGAGAAGGAAGCACCCGCTGCCCATCACCGGGTGCTTCCTGGGGGTGCCAAGATCCCCAGACCCCAAAGTCCCCAGTGGGATGCCTCTCAGGATACACCTCACCCCAAAGCTCTCAGCTGCAACCCGAGTTCTCAGATGGAGAAATGGAAGCCCAGAGAGGGGAAGAGCTGGAGTGTTCATGCTCAGCTCCAGAAACCTCCCTGGGCCCTAACCCTCCAGCCCATGGCCTTATCTTGTGCAGCCTCCCCACTCTGTCTCTGCCTAGAGCTGCAGCTGGAACTGTCCTGGAAATTAGCAATGAAGAGGAAAGGAAGCTGCCCCTCTGGGCAGGAGGGGCATTGGCCCCAGCAAGCAGCTTACCTAGCCCGTGACCTCCGATTGACACTGAGGTGAGAGGGCAGAGAGCAAGGAGAAAGGTCAGGTGAGTCACTCAAGGGGGCGGCCCCCACTCCCACACGCCGCCCAAGCAGCGAGCCCTTGCACACAGGCACACCCAAGCCCCGTGCCGAGCGCCGCAGTGGCCACTGGTGGGTTGGCTCACCTGTGACCGTGCACTTGCTGGCATCCCCAGTGGGCACGGCCCGGACACGGTATGGAGAGAAAGGGATCTCATCACCACCATACTTGATAAGGATTGTGTAGCGGCCTGTCACATCTGGCACATAGGCCACTGTGTATGTGCCATCATGGTTGTCTTGGATATGTGTCTTCTTGGGCTTGCCTTCGGGGTCCTGTGTAGCAGAGCACAGGCAAGGAGGTTGGCTGAAGCTTAGCTAGGCCCAGCCGTGCCTCAGGCCTTCCTCAAGGAGCACCAAGCACGCTACTACAGGGACAGCCTCTGGCCCCTCATTCACCCAAGTCCCAAAGGTCTGCCTGCATCTAAGATTGTCCCTTACTTCTGCCATGAGCAGAGTCCAGAATGGAATCACCAAAACATCCAGCATTCCCTGACAATTAGGCAAAGCCAACCTTGGCTGCAGAGCCTGCCCTGCACTAGGAGGATCTTGCATGGACGATCTCAGGGTCATATTCTTACACCTGCCCTATGAGAATATTCCAGACTTGGGGCTGAAGCATTAAAGGCTCTGGTCCTGTGCTCAAAGTCAGCAGTGAGAGATTGTGTTCAGGCAAGCCTATTCCTGTCATCACAATCCTGAGCTAGTCACAGCCTTAGTAAACCAGAAGCAGGGGGCTTGCCCTTCCCTGTTTTCCTGGTGAAGCTCCCTAGAGACTAGAAACCTGTCCTGGCCTGTCTGCCCCACCTGCAGCCCCGCAGTCCAGTCACCCAGGCCTGGCCCCCTTGCTTCTCTTGCCTATGGCTGGAGCTGCAATGCAGCTTGGGAAGGTGATGAACTCACTGTGATCTGGACAGCCAGTAGACCCTCTCCAGCATCCTTTGCATCAATGGTGAACTCTACAGGCAGGCTGGCCGGCACACCAGTGGTATTGAGTCCAGGGCCACTAGCCTTCACTTTGCTGGCATCATGTGTCGGCAGTACTTTAACCTTGAAGGGGCTGTGGAACCAGCGAACTGTGAATGGCCAGATAGTTCTCAGAAGCCAAGCTGCCCCCAGCATAGGCAACAGGCCAGTTCTTACCTCCGGGGCACCTCTTCTTCCCCGTATAGTACTGAGATACTGTAGGGCCCTTCTCGGCTAGGCACATAGTTGACAGTTTGCGTGCCATCAGCGTTGTCCACCACGTCCACTGGCTCCACCAGGCCTGGCCCCAGTCCCAGGGACAAAGTCTCAGATGGCTCTCTGGGCCCTGGCCCTCTTACCTGTCCCACTGTATGACTGGGACTTGGCCTCTAGCCTAGACCTTGCCATGTCCTCACGTACCGATCCCTAGGAATGGTCCTAAGCCTACCCTCCCTCTTGCTACATCTATTCAGTACACAAGTCCTGTCTGTTCCTTCTCCAGGTTTCTACCTAGCTCTGCTGTCATCTGAGGCTCTTCTACCAACTGCAAACTGGGCCTTCAGGCTCCTTCCCTAAACTTCAAAGAGGTCACTACCTCCCTGACCTCCTGCTCCCAGGTGCGTAAACCTTTACTCACCTTTAGGCCCCTGTACTTTGACATGAAGCGGGGCAACACCAGCCTTGCTTGTGTCCACCTGGAAGGACTGAGGGAGGTTGGCACGGACCATGCCTGGGCTCAGACCTGGCCCAGAGCACTTGACCTTGGATGCATCTGTCACATCATGCACAGGAACCTTAAAGGGACTACCTGGGATTCGGGCAGAGGGATGGCAGCTTCATAAGTCAGAATAGGCATAATCAGGCAGTCCTAGCCCTGTCCCACTGTCACCTCCTCACCTGGAACTTGGTGGCCACCATAGGTGACATTGAGGCTGTAGGTGCCGGCCTCGTAGGGGATGTACTCTACTGAACAACTGCCATCTTTGTTATCCATGCAGGACATCTTCGCCTCTGAGGGGCCCTCTACAGCCAGGCCCAGGCCACCTGTGCCAGCTCCCCTGGTCCAAGCAAATAGCCTGTCATTCCCTGGGGTTCCCAGGCCCATTGGCTACCCACTTGCCTCCCTGGTAGCACATTCACCTGGTCTCCACTGTGAACTTGTTGGGTTTGTTGGTGGTACCACTTTGGATGCCCGGCCCGTGGACACGCACCCTGGAAGGGTCGCAGCCCTCGGTCACAGGTACCTGGAAGGGGCTGCTAGGCACAGGACTGCCATCATAGGTCACGTCAACAGAGTGGAGTCCTGGAGGGCAGGCCAGGTCAGGAGGAGCCCAGGCTGCCCCACCTGCCCTGCCTGCCCAAGAGAGCCCCAGCACATACCCTCCTCGTACGGTGTATATTCTACTTTGTATGTGCCATCACCACAGTCTTGCACATAGGTTTCAGTCAGGTTGCCAGAGGGGTTGGCTACACGGGCCTTGACATGTGGCCCTCCAGTCTGTGTCAGAGCCCGGGCATCCACGCTGAACTCAGTGGTAGCCTCTCGGAAGACTCCTGGAGAGGGACGCAATGAAGCCAGGGTTACAGGGACCCTGCCCCCCCGCCCCCGAACTCCCCCATGTACCCAAGAGCAGGCCTCTTTACCTTGGCCCTCAATCCCAGGCCCATAGCATTGGACGCCTGAGGTGTCCACAGCAGGCTCCACCTGAAGCTTGCTGGGGAAGTTGGGCACAGGCTGGCCGCCGTACTTAATGGTGACAGTGTAGGCCCCAGGGCAGAGAGGAATGTAGGTGATGGTGTGTGTGCCATCACCGTGGTCCTGGATGTACACTTCAGCCGGCAGTCCTGCCTCGGAGCAGATCTCAATGGTCAACTCTGCACTGCCTGCACTTGAGCAGTCCACTTGGAACTGGCCCACCTCTCCAGCAGTGGCCCGCTCCAGCCCAGGGCCTGAGCACTTGACCTTGGATGCATCAAAACAGGGAACCACGTGGGCCTTGAATGGGGAGCCAGGGATGTGGGTGTCGGCAAAAAGGATGTTGATGTTGTAGTCCCCAGGCTCGGTGGGCACGTAGGATACAGAACATGTGCCATCCCCATTGTCCAGGCACTCAAGCTGCGCCTCGCAGGGGCCTTCCACTGTTAGGCCGAGGCCACCTGTCCCGGCACCCTTGGTGTCGATGGTGAAGCGGGCAGGGGAGCCTGCACTGCCTCCTTGCAGCCCTGGCCCAAAAGCCTTCACCTAAGGGAAGAGCAGATTGGAAGCTGAGACTGCACTACCACCAGCAAACCTCCTTTTGCCCTGGTTTTCCTCCCCTACCAAACAGGAACAGGAACAGGTTGCCTACAGCTATGCCACCATTCTCCATTATAAGGGCAAGTCTGGAGAAGATGGAGTGCCCCCCAAGGACCCTCAGAAAGCACAGTGGGCTCCACCCTTAGAGCCTCCCAATCCCAATTACCTTGCTAGGTTTGGTGGGGGCCATGGCTTCCAGAGGAAAAGGGCTGCCAGGCACAGGTACACCATCATAGGTCACCTCTACCTCATAGGGCCCCTCCTCACGGGGCACAAAGCGCACCACACTATTGTCGGCCCCCAGGCCTGGCTCCACCTTGCAGGGCACCACTGCACCTGAGGGGCCCACGATCTTGGAGGCCACTTTGCCTTGACCACCTGCACCCTTTGACTTGACTGTGAACTCCTGATCTTTGCCAACATCCACTTCTGTTGAGATAAGAAAGGAGAGAAAAAGAGAACCATGGCACCTAGCTTAGGTAGGCCCTGGGTGCTCTTCAGTGACTACAGAAAGTACTCAACTACTCACTCTCTCCTAGGCCAGACACCTTGATCTTGCTGAGGTCCAGGCTTGGAGACACCCCAACTGAGAAAGGACTCTTGGGGATGGGATCCCCTCCATAAGTGACATTGACACCTACTGGGCCCTGAGAGGGGTACAGAAGGGCAACAATCATCAGTCAATACCCTGGTCTCCTTGGCCTGCAAGTGCCCTGCTTGGGAAGAGGGCTTCAGACACTGGCTTTACTCCCCAGCTCCCTTCCCAGGTGAGAAATCAGACTTGATGGGAAGCCCCTTGGAGCAGCCCACCTAGCCCACCCCTTACAAGGAAGCCCACAGACTAGATGACTGTAGTGGAGGGGTGTGGCTGCAGGGGGTCAAGATGGCTACCTGCTGCACAGGAGTGTACTTGACTGTGTAGGTGTTGTCATGGTGATCAATGATGTCCAGATCTCGCACCACATCCCCTTTAGCCAGACCTGAGAACTGGACGTCCAGCTTGCCTTTGCCAGCAGCTTTGGCGTTGACGGTGAAATGGGTGGGTTTGCCAAGCTCAATGCCTAAGGAGACAAAACAACCATATACAGGGGCACCTTGCTCTGAGCACCCCCACCCTTGATGTCTCATAATTTCCCAGAGTATTCATCTTTACCAGTGCGATTGAGGCCAGGGCCCTCTGCCTTCACCTTGCTGGCATCATGGGAGGGCTCCACCTTAACCCGGATGGGGCTGGTGGGTGTTGCCTGTAAGTGGTAGGGGAAGGGTTGAGAAGAGCAATACCTCAACAACCAGAAATCTAGGGGCCAGAAGCAGTAGACCAACCTGGTCAGCAAAAAGGACCATGATAGTATAACTGCCAGCTCCACGGGGTGTGTACTTGACTGTGAAAGTATCATTGTCATTGCGGATGATGTCAAAGTCGATGTCAGCCTCAGCAGGGCCCACCACACCAGGAGCACACTTGATGCCAATGCTGACATCACCTGTCGTGGTGGGAATCAGCAGAAGCTGGGATTTTGTGGGGATATTCCCCACTCCGGTCTTCCCACCCAGGGCCAGGCCTTACCCTGGCCAGCCTCTGTGCAGTCCACAGTGAAATAGGTGGGCTCATGTGCCTTGAGCCCTGTCTTGGCCACACCTGGGCCATACACCTTGACCTTGTTTGGATGGCTTCCAGCTCCCACATTCACCTGTAGAGTACAGGGACAAGTGCAGGACATGACCAGCCTGGGGAGGCAGAGGCTCCCTCAGCTACTGGTGTAAAATAAGCAAAATGGTGCAGCTGCCTTGGGGAAAGTCTGACAGTTCTTCAAAAGATTAAACAGAGATCATATGACACCACAGCTCTGCTCCTACATAGCTACCCAAGAAAAACAAAAACCTAGATCCACCAAACTCATTTTACATGAATGTTCCTAGCAGTGCTATATACAATAGCCCCAAAGTAAACACATCCCAAAGGTCCATCACATAAAAAAGATAGTCACAATGTGGTCCATCCATACCATGAAATATTTGATCATAAAAAGGAATGAGGCATGGGCTGGGTTGTGACTCAGTGGTAGAGTGCTTGCCTTGCATGTGTGAGGCACTGGGTTCAATACTCAGGACCACATAAAAATAAGTAAACAAAATAAAGATATTGTGCCCAGGTATAACTAAAAAAAGTATTTTTTTAAAAAAGGAATGAAGCACTGATACATGCTCAGTGTGGATGAAACTTAACAGGATATGCAGTGCAGAAGCCAAACACAAAAAGTCACATAGTATATGATTCCATTTATATGAAAGGCCCAGAAGCAGCAAATTCATACAGTGGGAGAGCAGGTTAGTGGTTGCCAGGACCTGGGGGAGGGGAGAGGTGGGAGGGTGAGTTTCATTGGGCATGATGAAAATTGTCCTAAACTTAGATTGTGGTAATGATTGCACAACTCAGTGAATGTACTAGTACTGAGCTGTCCATTTTAAATGAGCTCACCCGGAAGGGGCTATTGGGGATGCTGACACCTCCCCAGGACACCATGGCTGTGTGCTTCACTGGCTTCCTTGGCACATAAGAGCAGCTGTAAGTTCCATTGCCGTTGTCTTTGACTGATGCCTCTACAGGACAGCCCTCATTATCCTGCAAGATTGGTAAAAGCAGGCAGCCTGCTGGTCAGTGCCCAGGCCTAGGTGCCTGCCTACCCTGCCCCCAACGCAAAGGGCATCGCACCTGGACTTGGACCCGGAGAGGGGCCTTCCCGCCATGTTTAGCATCTACTGTGAATTCTGCTGGTTTGTTGACAGCTACACCAGTCTTCTCCAAGCCAGGCCCACGTGCCTTCACCTGGTAAGAGAACACCCAAGTTTCAGGGGACCAAGTCAAGGCCACCAAACCACAAGCCAGGCGTGGCAGCTGGGGATAGAGTGCCAGGAGCATGGTGCTGGATATACCAGTTTAGGGCCTGGGCTCAGGACCCCATCCTGGTTGACAAAACAGGGATGTGCCCACCCCCAGTGGGCTTCCTAAGCAAAGGCAGGAGAGACTCAGGCTAGTGCTGCACGCCCTTTACCCTGTCTGGGTGAAAGTCCTGGGGTGCATCACGGATGTCAGCCATGAATGGACTGAGGCGGATGTCCTCGCTGTTACACAGCACATGCACAGCATACTCGCCAGCCTCTTGGGGCCAGTAGCGCACGTCACAGGAGCCATCGCCTTTGTCATCACATTCAATCTTGGCCTGTGATGGACCTTCCACGGAGAAACCTGACAACAACCATCAGTCCCATTGATGCCCTGGAGACTCAGGGCATCCTCCACCCACAGGGGCCCACACTGAAGCCTCCAACTTACCCAGGGTGCCCACGTCGTCCCCAATTGCCTCTACCACGAAGTCTGCTGACTTGCCAACGACACCGCCCTCCAGCCCAGGACCCCAGGCCCGCACCTTCTGATTGCCACATTCAGTGCCCACCTTCACCTCAAAGGGACTGCAAATGGAAGAGCCACTTAGGGGAGAACTGAGAGGCACCATCCTACAGAAGAGCCATCCCGTGCCCAGCAACGTGGGCTAGGCGAGAAGACCAGTTTGGTTCCCCATTGTCAGACAGACAGAAGACTTAGACAATGCTGGTTGGTGGGGAAGAGTGCCTGGGAGCCTCACCTGCGCCCAATGTTCTGGCCACCCCATGTGATGGTGACAGTGTAGGTGCCAGGGGCTGTGGGGTAATACTCAAAGCCATAAACGCCATCCCCTAGGTCCTTCTGCTTCACACGTTCCTCTCCCTCTGCCAAGATAAGGAGGGCCTCAGGACTGCCTAGCAGTGACCCTGAAGGCTGCTGCCACCCATCCCAACCCCAACCAACTTACTGGGGCCCTTCACAGTGACCTTCAGCTCCCCGCTGCCAGCACCCTTCGTGTATACCTTGAAGTCAGCTGTCTCCTTCACCCGCACACCCTTAGGCTGGAGGCCTCGGCCAACAGCCCGACAGGCAGCTGGATTACAGGCTGTGGGGAGAGGAACTGGCTGAGCTGCTAGGAGCTAGAGCTGGGTGTCCCCTTACCTGCCCCAGCCTCCCACAGGACCAGGCTATTGGGATTGGAGGGTCCCTAAGAGCTTGGCCCAACAGGCTAGTGAGGCACATGCAAGTAAGAACTGGAAGGGGTTGTGACCCCAGGACCTGTGTACCAAACCAAGACATGACAGGCTTCCTCCCACCTGCTGACCCCAGCCCACAGACATCCACCCAACCCTCCCCTCCAAGAGGAAGATGGATCCAAGTACCGTTGACCCTGTGGGCAGAGCAGAGAGCAGCAGGTTTCTAGACAGCTGGAGCGAGCTCTTCCGAAGGTAAAAGCATGGAGAGGAGAGACAGAGAAGGGCAAGAAGAAGAGGAGGAGGAAGGAGGGCCCCAGCAAGGGAGGAAAGACAGCACGTGCCCAGATAGTGGAAACTCAGAGACTAGGGGTGCCCAGGCAGGGGCTGGAGAGGGACTGCACCAAAGGGCTCCCCCTCCCACACAAGGCCCAGGCAGCAACACCACAGTGGGGGCAGAGGGGTGGCCAGGGCTGGGCCTACCTTGACCAACAGTGACAGTGTAGGGGCTGCGAGGGATGGGTACTCCGGCGAAGGTGATGTGCACTGTGTGGACTCCCTCCATGGTCGGTTGGTAGCTGCAGCGGTACGTGCTATCACCCCGGGCCTCCAGCTGAGGCTCCACTGTGCCTTTCTGTCCTGCAGGGTCCTGGATCACAACCTCCACCTCACCTGTGCCAGCTCCTGTCACAAGGCATAGGCTTAGGTTCCAGGCTCCAGCACAGCTCTCCTCTCAGGCTGCCTGGGCTTCAGTAGTCTTCCCTCACCTGCCGTAAAGATCTCAAAGTAGGTGGTCTTGTTGGCGATGTTGCCACTGGGCTCCAGGCCAGGGCCCTGGGCAGTCACTTTGCTGGCATCACCTTGTGACTTGTCCACATACACCTCAAAGGGGCTCTTGGCAATATGCTGACCAGCAAAGAGCACAGTCACCTATTCCCAGGAGGAGTGAGTCATGAGGGCAGGGACAGGAACCTCTAGTCACTGCCCATGGCCACCACTCTCCCTGCCACCTGAAAGCTCACCTTATGAGTCCCCGTCACTTTGGGGATATACCACACAGAGAAGGTACGGTTCTTGTCATTATTGGCAGTCACCTTTGCCTGTAGTAGGAAGGAGCCCCCCCATGAGCCTTTGTTAAGAGCAGCTCCTCCAGAAGGGAGCACAGCAGGGCCCTCCCCTACTAGTATAACCCTACTTCTTCCTGGTGTCCAGCAGGGTCTTCCACATACACCAACACCTCTCCCTGGCCAGCACTCCGGGTCTCCACAGTGAACTCTGCCCGCTTCTTCACCATGTTGCCTGTGGGCTCAATGCCTGTCAGAGAAAGGTGAGCAAGTCGCAGGCCAGCTACAAGAGCCACAGCCTTATGTCTTTACCCCCTGCCCCCTATCCAATGCTAAGGCAGGCAAGCTGAGCCCCTAGCCCTTCAGGAGTATCAGGAACACAGTGTTAGAGCCCTGATCCCTCTGCAGGTTCAGTGCCCCTCCCTGCCAGCCTCCGAGTCAGGCACGTTCCAAACTGGGCAAGTTTGTTCAGCATAAACCCAGCACAATGAGTCTGGCCTCAGGACCCAGCCATGCTCTTGCTGCAGAGGCAGGCCCATGCCTGTTTTCTGGAACACTCAGGTTTCCTGCACCAGTGTGATTGCCCAACCCTTTCCCTGGGCTGTGGTTCATCTCCCAATCATAGAGAAGGAGCCCACTGGGTCCTCCCTCCCTGGGGAGGTTTCCCCACAGCCTTGTGTGACTTGAGGAACTTCCTAGCACTCTCTTGTCAGTTGACTTGTTCTAACCAATCCTGATCCATTCCCATCAGATTTTTTTTTTCTTTGTACTGGGGATTGAACCCAGGGGTGCTTAACCACTGAGTCACATCTCCAGCCTCTTTATTCTTTATTTAAAGACAAGGTCTCACTGAGTTGCTTAGGGCTTCCCTAAGTTGCTGAGGCTGGCTTTGAACTTCTGATCCTCCTGCCTCAGCCTTCCAAGTCACTGGGATTACAGGAGTGTGCCACCTCACCCAGATAAGACTTTTTTTTTTTTAAAAGAATGGAACACACCAGAAATGTGCGTGTCATCCTTGTGTTGATCTCCATATCATCTCAATTTTACTATCTCTGCTGCCAAAGCAAGCACTCCCATCTGACTTGTTTGAGAGGTACTAGCTGTTTCTTCACCCAAAACTCCTTGGGTCCTCCAGATTCTGACAATATACTATGTATGGGGAGGATGTTGGTGCACCAGAACACCCCTAGGCGTTCTCTTACCTGGCCCGTAGGCTCGGGCTTTCTTTGGGTTCAGTTTTGGCCGCAGGGGAGCCCCTGGCTTCAGCTTGGCTTTAGGGAACTGGGACAGGTAAGTCATGACAGAATGCTCATCCACATTGGGGTCCACAATCTCCTCAGGAGTGATCACCTGTCACAAGCAAAAGACAGGAGCCATTGGAGCACTCCTCACTGCAAACAGGTCCCCCATAGCCTCCAATAGGGCCAGACAGGGAGCATACCTGAGGGATGCCCAGCCAGTCATCAGCTTGCTGCATGGCCTCTCGTGCGTTGTTGACAGGCTTACTGGCATCCCAGGAGTCCCAGTCAGGACAAAGGCCTGTGACACAATGAAGATTGTACTTTGAGTCGGGGAGAGCTACAGAACTACCTTCCAGATCTCCCACAGACAGCCCGATCCCCCTCACCTGGAGCACAGCTATCGACAAGGGCACCCAGGGCCCGGCCACTCTGCCAGTCCCTACTGAAGTTGGTGATGGGCAGCTGTGGCAGCTTGTTCTGGATCCAGCCTAGGAGCCTCTGCTTGGGTGTCTGCTTTTTGGCTTCCTCATCCTCCTCCTCATCCCACATAGGCATGGAGATAGAGTAGTGCAGAATCAGGGTCCAGATGAGGCCCAAGATCAGCTTCAGGTTTCCATCCACAATGGCCTTGCTGTCTATGGGGTAAAGAAGTGGCAGTACTGGGCAGCTTCCTCATGGCCTTGAGGGAAAGTACCCTCAGAGAAGGAGTCAGGTCACTCCCTGGTGGTAGGGCCAGGGTCTCACAGCACATGGAGGCACAGGGAAGAGGCCCTATCCCAACTAGGGATGAGATATCAAGCAAACTTTGTCCAGAGGCTCTCTGTGGTATCAGAGGTGAAGACTTCTGGGGGAGAGGGAAGATACCCATAAACACACAAGGAAAATAGGAGGACATTTCCAGAAACCTCAGGGCCCAGAAGAAGTGCAGAAGACTGTCCCAGCCTGCAGACAGGTCCAGGGAAAGCATCTCACAAGGTAATTGGAGGATGATGGAGATGAACACTTTGTAGCTGCCAAGATGGAGACCTGTCCCTATCTCCAAGGATCTCTGAAAACTGGGAGGTGTAGCCCAGCCCTAGCTGGTCTAGAAACCAGGGCCCCTGACCACAAACTGGGCTGGGGCTAAGGAAGAGGAAGGCTGGGTTGGCAAAGAATGGTTGAGAAATAGAATTGCTACTTCAGGATGGATGGGTGGTGGGTGGTGGGTGTGAGGCAGGGGAAGTAGAGGCATTGGGCAAGGACCCTTGGGTGATGGGGTGTGAGCCCCACCCTCTCCACATCCTTGTCCCCTCAGTCACACTAGAAGTCAGGAGGTGGCAGAAGGCTAGAGCACTGCTTGGGGGGGGGAGTACCAGGGCTCAAAGGAACCAGGGGTTGGGCCACATGGTCCTGACTCACTAGGGCCTACAGAGATCTTCTGGGGTGACAGAGCAGGAAACATTATAGAGGCCCCCCTTATCCAGCTGGAGAAGGAGAAGGGTGAGGCTGGGTGAGCCTGGCTCTGCTGCACAGGCCTCTGCTTAGGAGCTTGGGTGGCAGAGGCTTTGGGTGGGGTCCCTGTGTCCTGCTGCCTCAGCAGAACCCGCTCAGCTGCCACCCATCACCCGCCCTACTTGCCACCTAACGGACTCAACTCAAGTACTCAAGCGGGCACCATGCTCACCACAGGGGAAGTGGTTAGGGTAGGCACCCTACACCCCCATCATCACCATGGCAATTGCTCTGGGCCCCACCCAAGGCCACCTTTGGGTCTCAGCCTCCTCAAGGGTGGGTGGCTGTGGGTGGAGCAGACTTTCTGAGAGCTCATCTTTGGAAACCCTACTGGCTTCCCTTATAATCACAGAATACTTATCTAGTGAGTCAACTGTAGGGGTACTGTGAGAAGGGAATGAACACCATCAAAAGAGCCATCAATGGTGGTTTTTCAGTCTGGATGAAAGTACCTGCAACACCAGCTGAGCTTCTCAAAGCAGAGTGCCCCCACCCCTGCTGTTCCCAGATGGGTTGGTCCTGACCCCTCAGAGTTATCTTTTACTGTCCCCAAATTGTGAGAGGAGGGATCAGAGAAGACCAAGGATGCAAGACACACAGTAGTGTGGGGGCTTCCTGGGTCCAGCACAAGAGCCCTCAGGGGGCTGGAGGCCTTTAGTGGCCTCCAACAGGAAGGGCAAGACCAGGCCCACCAGCCCTCACAGGTAGGGCCAGACCCTCCCATGGTCCTCATCATGTGGGCCAATGCCACCCCCTCCCCCTCCCCAGAGGGAGGGAAGGACCAGGGCCCAGGGCTGGGAGACTGCCTGGTTAAATGGCCCCGCCCCATCCCACCCCCTTTCCCCAGCCCCGGGGCCAGCCGGCCCCCT